AAAAGAGAGCGAGAATAGATAAAACAGATAGAAGAGAGAGAATAGATAAAAGAGAAAAAGAGAGCGAGAATAGACAAAACAGATAGAAGAGAGAGAGAATAGATAAAACAGAAAAGAGAGCGAGAATAGATAAAACGGATAGAAGAGAGAGAGAATAGATAAAACAGAAAAGAGAGAGAATAGATAAAACAGAAAAGAATGAGAGAATAGATAAAACAGATAGAAGAGAGAGAGAGAATAGATAAAACAGAAAAGAGAGCGAGAATAGATAAAACGGATAGAAGAGAGAGAGAATAGATAAAACAGAAAAGAGAGAGAATAGATAAAACAGAAAAGAATGAGAGAATAGATAAAACAGATAGAAGAGAGAGAGAGATAAAACAGAAAAGAGAGAGAATAGATAAAACAGAAAAGAATGAGAGAATAGATAAAGAGAAGAGAGCGAGAATAGATAAAACAGAAAAGAGAGAGAGAATAGATAAAACAGAAAAGAGAGAGAGAATAGATAAAACTGATAGAAGAGAGAGAGAATCTGTGGCTTAGTATTTTGACTTTCCAATTAATGATAACATATTGCAAAACCGGTTGCTTAACTTCGCTGGACGACAGAATATATATACACACTTATATACCCGCTTAAATATACCCGCAAAAACATGCATATTTAATATATATCTTTCCGGCTCCATGCTTTCCCGCCAAATTTGATCTGCAAAAATGTAAATACAATGCCAATCGCTATCTTCTGTCATCCTGATTACTCTTCATCTGTTCTCGCTCTCGCTCCTTAATAATGTCCCTGTTTCTAACTCTTCCACACCCAGTAAACCCTTTGCGTCTCGGTGGCTTTACTACCTTGCTTGCGGTGAACTCGAATATGAGAGAAGGAGAGGGAGAGGGAGAGAGAGAGAGGGAGATGTGTGTGTGTGTATACATACAAATGTCATTGGGTGCAATGCGATTAAAAATCAGCGATAGAAATCAGACACACCCACACACACATGTATTTTTCAACTGACATATTTATTAGGGCCAAGTTAAAAAGCTATTAAAGAACATTATTTGATATATCATTATGGAAAATAAATCTGTTCAAACAGGAAATAATCATTTTATTTACTAGGTGCATCGGGATCAGCTACCAAAATGCAATATTTCGTCGGTCCACATTTCTCTGTTAGCACCTATCTATCGCTAGATATTTCACACTCGACATTTGTATATACTATCATCGAATGTATAACATCATCTGTAATTTGTAAATATATCTCTTAATAAGAATGCGTGTGTGTTTCATTAATCTGCTGGATTTCGAATTCTGATTTGAGAGATAGGCAGGTAGACAGTAAGTATTTGAAAATGTTATATAAATATATATATATATATATATATATATATATATATATATATATCATGGCCTGATGATTGCATCTAGCATGAAACAGACTGTCGCCTCTGAGTGTTGACTTCTATGTTCACTTTTATATTTACACACGCTCTATCTCTGATATTGAGCACTTTACCCCATAAATATAGCACATCTTAAGACTATATTTATTCATATATATATATATATGTGTGTGTGTGTGTATAAAAGAAAAAAGACAATAGAAAAACTATGTTAAATTTTTCAAGGCAAAAAACAAAATGAATTTATTGAAACAAAGTATATATAAACATAAAAATATTCGACATAGCTTTTCAGTTGACCAACGGTGGAGTAATGGGTAGCGGCTCGGGTTGAGAAATCGGAGAACCGAGTTCGAATTCCAGTCGAATCCATTACATTCCCTTTTTTAATACCATTGGAAAAGGTATGAATCCTCTTCCGGGTAAATTGTAGGAGAGACCATGTTCTATAACCTTGGGTGGCAACTGGTTTGCCACAGAAAAAAATGGCAACCTGCGGCGGGAAAAAATCTTCCTCGTCATGCATCGAAAGATGCATGATCGCCTAAGCGTGTATCACGCATGGCACATAACTGACTGAAATAAATATACAATAGCGTTTCTAAATTCTTCTAGTTACTAACGACATTTCGCTTTTTTGACTTGAAAACGTCCACATTGAACGAAACGCGTCGGCTAAAACTACACTTTTCCTATTGTCTTTTTCTTTATGCACACACACACACACACACACACACACACACATATATATATATATATATATATATATATATATTTCATTTCAAAATTTTGAGAAATGGGTCGGGCTGAGAACTTTTCAGCACTTGAATTTTTACACAAATTGCATAATATTATTTACATATACTTTATACACACACACACACACACAGACACGTATGTGTGTGCGTGTGTGTGTGTGTGTAAGATAACAGGCATTGTGCGCTTGTGTTATGTAACGATGAATCTTTTACTCAGCAGATTTCGTTGTTCATGAAACTCTTGCGACGGGTAAGAAAAAAAATAAAATAATATTTATTAATGTTTCTCCAAATGATTCTTACTTCGCTAACTTGAAGAAAGCGATTTCCATATCGAAGTGAAATCAATGGGAATGTTATATATATATATATGATATTAATTAAAATATTTAAAGTATAGCGCTATTCAAATCTGCATATTAATAGAATTGTGATTAAATCTAGTAACTAATTATTTTAAATATTTTCTGTCGTACGTAGCAGCTATATGAATGTTTTGTATAACGTCCTCGCTCGAAACAATTACACATGTATTTGCTTAGCGTGCGTGTGTGTGTGTGTGTGTGTTCATGAGGATGCGTTTCCATATAAATTCTACTGTTGTGTACTGTTGTAATGGCGCAGGTTTTAGATTGAAAAAATTGTGGACCTCTAAATTATCTGCCAAAGATATGAATAAATAAAAATGTCTGAATATGTTTAATAATGTTTGCGCTTTAGTGTGCATAGCGCTTACTTCCGCCTCGTCATTTAAAACATATTTCCTATGAAAATAAGCAAGCATGAAAAATGACGACTCTATTCGAATGCAATGTACGAACAGTTTCCTTAACGTCGCGTCATATATGGAGAACTCATCGAAATTTAAAAACACATGAACGAACTCGTCTTTGAAGAGAGTTGACTGTAAGTCTCTCTAATTGTAGGTACCCACGACATTGAAACTACTGAGACTCGGAAAGGTAGGAAAACCAGACCCCGTTATTAAGGGCTCTACGGGAATTTTGCCCGAGCCTACGGGTTCGGAACTTCACTCGCAAAAAAAAAAAGAAAAAAAAAAACGGCATTGTGCCACATCCTTCCTTGTGGGAGGACTTGGGAAAATACCGAGTGTATGTGTGGGGGGATGTGTCTTGTTTAAATGTTTAATACAAAAGAAGTCATGATATATATATATATATATATATATATATATATATATATATATATATATATATATACATGACGGTTGAAAGTACGCGAACAAAAGAGAAAAACATGAATTTCGCAGTTTGTTCAAAATTTCAATCAAAATATATAACATATTCGAAAATAGGAAGAGTACATTAAAAAGTTTTCGTTCGTATTTAATTAAACTTATCTGGAATACTTACAGTATATATATATATATATATATGGGAGAATGATATATAGATTTTTTTATATATCAAGAAGAAATTTGGAGGAAAGATGTATGATAAAGATGATGAAAAAGGTTTCCGCTTTTTCATTATATATATTAGTGAAAAAGAAAAAGACAACGCTCAAGAATATCAACTTTGTAAACGAATACAATATGCTGACCTTGTTTGGAAAATAAATAAAACATTACCATCGCAATAGTTAAGCATTAAAAACTACATGTAAAAACATTAACTGTAGCAGTTTTATTTTGAGTAATAGAATCTATTTCTTTAACATGTGTGAGTTCAGTTAAGGAGGAGTTTATGTCCGACACCATTACTCAAATACTACCAAATATCAAAATATTTCGTTTTGGCTCTTCTTGTTCGGGCTTTTCCGTATACTCTCGTATTATATATACACGTTTAGGTGAACGTATGTGTACGTGTGAATGCGTACATATACTTTTTTTGTTTTTTTAATCGGTATCACCCCATGCAAGGCAGTGAAGACACTAAAACCCAATGGTTTACAGGGTGTGGAAGAATTAGAGTAGTCAAGGTAGAGTAGCAGCTTGGATTGGGAAATCGGAGAGCCGAGTTCGAATTCCAGTCGAATCCGTTACATTCACTTACGTGCTAATACCCTTGGAAATGGTATGAATTTTCTACCCCCAGTTATGAGTAAATAGCAGGACAGACTGGGTTCTTGGATGGCCACTGGTCTAGCGCAGAAAGAAATGGCAACCTACAGTAGGAAAAAAAAAATCTGCCTCGTCCGTCATATATCAAAAGATGCATGATCGCCTCATCGTGTATCACGCATGACGCACAAAATAAAATAATAATAATAATAATGAGCGGAAAGAGTAATCAGGAGGACAGTAGATAGCGATTGACATTGCATTAAATTTTTAGGGGAACTTTTTGGCCTTCATTATGGCTCCCAAACGTAAGGCAGACTCGTGGGTGCTTATATAGGTGAGTTCCGAGTTACGTCGGAAATCAGGTTACGTCGCTCCGTAGAAACGGATCTCCAACATCAGTCGAGGACCCCGTATATATATATATATATATATATATATATATATATATATATATATATATATATATCAGACAGGTTCCGTTAGTAATTACTCAGGGTAGGCAAATTGTGACCTTTTGTAGTAAATCTACAAAAATAGAATATTTTGCATTTTATGCATAATAGCCAGAATAAAGTTCATAATTTTGATAGATTAACTCCATATTGTACAACAGAAGGAAAATGTGGATACTGTAATATATATATATATATATATATATATATATATATATATATATATATATTGATGCATGATATATTATTGATGATATATTAGAAAGGTTTTTGCATTAATCCGACATATTTTTATTACTTAAACCGGAGAGCGCACTTTTTCTTTAGTAGAATCTCTGAAATATACACGCCAGTATGTGAATATAAATAAACATACTGTTTAATAAATAAACGAAGCGCCTCCTCTAATCGTACGAGTATCCAATGAAATAACATTTAAAGTGATATAATATTAAAATTATATATATATATATATATATATAATTGACTTAAAATATGTTTTTTTTCGCTACGCAGTTCTAACCATGTTTCAAAAATGGAAGCTAAAATCTTCGAAATTAATTTTGTAATTAAATTAAAGACAGTAGTTCCATTTCATCCTCAAGCAATTTTTTGAGTAACTTTTATATATATATATATATATATATATATATATATATATATATATATATATATATATATATATATATATATATATAGAGAGAGAGAGAGAGAGAGAGAGAGAGAGGAGGAGTTATCTATAATGATTTTATAGAATATTGGTCTAAACTAATTGGAGGAAGTATTTTCTACAATAACTTTGTGGAAGAATTTTCGAAATGACTTGAAGGAAGAATCCTCGATAATAACAATATAGAATAATGGTGGAAAATAATTCATAGAACTATATTTTTTCAAATTTTTTTTTAAATTGGTATCACCCCAAATAAGGTAGTACAGCCACTAACACGCAAAGGGTTAGAGAGTGGTGGAGGAATTAAGAACAGAAACATTAGTAATGAGGAGAAAGGGAAAAGAGCAATCTGGAGGACATTACATAACGATTGACATTGCATTTAAATTTTTGCAGATTAAAGTTGGATGGAAAGAATGGGACCGGAAGGAAGTTCATCAGACGAGAAGGGCAACAAAAGAAACTGTTAGCATAGAACTTACGGCTACACCTAGCCAGCTCAACTGTAAATGGATGATACCTCGACGCCAATTTAGTACTGCGCTTAAATTAAAAAAAAAACCCTAGGTACCATAGCAAAGAGCTCGTCCGAAAAATTATCATGAAAATATTTATAGAAAAAGCACAGTGAGACAACCTTACGGCGGTAGGAAAATGACTGAAACCGAGCCGCCAGATCAGGACCAATAATATTGCTGATTCTTCTTTGGAATTTATCAAGGAGCTTAAAGTAAACGGCAGGGGTACCGAACCATATGTGGCAGCAATATTCTAAGGATGGACGAATGGTAGAGTTATAGATATGTAAGAGATTCTGGAGAGAGAAACTGTTTCGTCACTGAGTAATATTTTCGGTATTAATATGGCAATATTCCTGTAAACATTGATTGCTAACCACGTCAAAATGTCAGAATTCTGAAGCTCAAAGTAAACAAGAATGGCGCACACAATCGATTTTTTTTGGTTTGATAAAAAAACATTCATATTTTTTTCTGCGTTCAATAATTTTCTTTTTGAATCTTTTCAACATCATTTTTAAATATGCATTTTCATCTTGTTTCGAAATGTTAAATAATTTCTTTTTATTTAATTTACTTTCTTGCCTTTTCTTTTATTACTGTTAATGTTTTCTGATCATCATCATTATTATTATTAAAATACTTTCTGTTCACCACTTACTGGGCCTTTACTCGTGACCTAGCATAGTATAGTAGTACAGCTGGTCACTCGTATTCGAGGATACCAGTCTTCTAGGCCGGCTAGCTAATCCCTATTGCAGCCGCTTGCTCAGGCGCATGTGTGTTTATTCAACACCCACAGAGCCAGTCTTTGGTTTATACTGCAACTATGCTGAACAGACCTTGGTTACAATTTCTGGGAAAAAGCGTGTTATCTAGCGTGATCAACAATCTGAACAAGGCCAGCATGCTCAAGCCCTGGGTCACGTGGCTTCGTGCTAGCACAGCTATCGACGGCACCCAAGGATTCTGTCTATCCAAGGCTTGGGTCAACCGGTGTTAGGGTTTTCAAGCACTTTCCAAAGAAGCTGCACGCTGGGACGTACTGAGAAATCGACCATGGTGTGATTCGAACCCAGGTCTCATGGTCAGAATGCGAACGTTCTAACGACTCGGCCACAATAAGGCATGGTAATAAAATATATGCATTCCGTTTGCACAACTGCTGATGTAAAATGATGCTTAGCATATACAATTTTTATGCAAACACTTCTCACTTAACGACTTAATTTTTCATTGATCCGAACTTACGACCAGAATAAAATCTTTGAAAAAATAGAAGATAAATAAAAATCAGTTAATAAGTAAATAAATAAAAACATTCAACTAGTCGGTAAGAAAATAAACCTTATTCTAAAACGTATAATAACAAATTATACAAAATGATGCAAACGTGATATTAAATCTACCTGAAGCTGGTTGACACAAACCCATGAAGTCAGGAATAACGGTCAAGTGGAATTTCTCACTTAGCGACCATCATTTCAAGATTCTTATATTCACTTACATTGTCATTCTTTAACAGATATATTTTTAGAAGCTTTCTTGATTTATCCAAATTATTTAGCCGGAAGAAACAGGGAATTTAATTTTAATTTTTTTAATTTTTTTAAGCATTTCACCCCAAGCAAGTCTGAAGTGCCAGTATCACGCAAGGGGT